TGGTTAGCAACTCCCTAAAGCAATGTTGGTTGCAGAGGTCAACACTGATGATCATAATTTTAGGATAACCAGTTTATCTATAGCTACACTTGTGGTCCTGGGATGAATGGTGGATTATATATCAGCATATGTAACACATATACCCATGTCCTTGCATAAGGGAGAATGCATCACCTCTCTAACATGCATTGCACATTTTCCTCAACACTGACTTAAAATGTTTGTCAGTGAGAATGTTAAGAATTCAAAATCCTGCAAAATTATTGTTTAATGTGAAGCAGTAAAAAAACATAGTCTTAACAGCTCTCCAAAGCAATGTAATGAAGTCAGCCTTTGGTTTTTTAAAGTGTGGTGTGTCTAGTTGTGGATCATAATCAAAAGATGTCTTTCACCACACTCTGCAGAGGCCATCGATCAAGGTAGAAATAATGGGGGAGACGGCATGCGCTTCAGGGCTTCAACTAAAAGGAAATTGTAGAATGAGAACTTCAAATACAACACAGTAACAGGAATACTAGAAAACTGTGTGTGTCTGGGATTCCTGCTTGAAGAAAGACACTAATGAAGCTAATAAGGGGCAGTCTTCACCAGCAGCAGCCAAATGCTGGCAAGTGCTCTGTAGGAGGGGCCACTTAGGAAAGTACCAGAGTTTCCTTGGAGTGGAGAAGGAGGAGTGGGCCACCAGAGGGTATACAAGTGGCTGCCCTACTTTAAAAGGAGAGGCTCAGGAGCAGACATATCTTTATGCTAACCTGAAGTCATGTATGTGTGGCTATACATAGCCTGTGATTCAGAAAATTTTTCAACTTTGGTTTTCATAAAAATGGCAAGCAATGATGGATTACATCTCAAAAGTGAAAGCCCTTGTAGTATTAGTAATGATTCAATTTTATTAAAAGGATCTGCTATTGCTCAGATTTCCAGAGAAACAAAATGGTCAACTAGTATGTTATTCCTTTCCTGTCCCTCTAATAATGGTACCGACAAACTGGAAAATAATGAAATATTAGAGCAAAAGAAAAATGTGTAATAACACAAGAGAAGTCTATTAGGATATAAGTAGACAGAGCAGGCTTAAAATGAAGCTTGAACAAGCCATCTGCAGAAACAGAGAACAGGGTAGATGGGACACCCAAACAAGGTGCCACAGCTTTTCAACTTAGATCCATGTTATGAGAGAGAGAGCGGGCAAAGAACACAACCTAATAAGTGTTCGATTTGAGGTATATTCACTGTTTGCTTTTTTATAGTATTAATCAAAATATTGACTAACAATCCTATTATTAATCAAAACTTTTGGTCTTGAGTCTTAGTTTTTTTAACAGTAATATTTTTTGTAACACCAACAAAATTCTCACAAGTTTGACAGAGCATATTGCCTCGGGCTGGACACTGGAGCTAGCGTTCCTAAGAGACTAAAGTGGAAGAATTTGAAACATCTGCTATTTCTACCATAATTCTTATTCCCAATCAACATTTATACCACATACCACAGCAAAAAGGACAACTAGATACTAGTTTTGAATTAATTTGAAAAGTTTAAAGACAACAAAAAGAAACAGCCCTCTGTTTCTGTAACAGAGTCTGGAAACTGTCCAAGAATTAACAACGAAGTTCTTTAATGAGGTAGACGTAATAGGCATTTATACCTTCATCTAGGCTGTAGTCATCTAATGAATTGCTTGGATGCTGTGGTAAAGGAAATTGTGTAAAATTAATTGTTTTAAAAAGATGTATAAAATTTAAAAGTACTAAAAGAAATACAGAAACTAGAATAGATGTAGTGAAAACTTGGCACTATTTCAAGCAAAGCATTTTTTTCAAAGTTTACTCCTAAATGTGAGCAAAGCAGTCATAAATGAATGTCAGAAGCAGTTATAAAGATTGGGCATGGTTAGTTGTGGCCAGCTGTTTTATAAAGAATAGATTCTATTTAAATATACTTGCAGAAAGATTCTGTCAATGAGCATTCGCTGTAGCTGACAAAGTAGTTGGGGTGTCTGTGTTACAGAGAAACGTGGGGCCTAGGAGGCCAGACACTGTGACTTCACACATATTGCAACTGCTCTGGGCCTCAATTTCATCACCCATACAAATCAAGGGGGTTGGCCAGAAGACCTTTAAAATCCCAGCTTTAAAACTCTTCTGAAATTTATTATGATTGGTATTAGAAACTCCATTTCTACCAACCTTATCATCAGGGGTTATGGATAAAATTGGAGGCTTTTTTGGGCAGCCTGGTCTTCTAAACCAAAGGACAGAATGCTCTTCCCAAAGCCACATGACTTTTCTACCTTGTCATCTGCCATTAGTTTCTAATCTTGTCTAGCCACATTGTTGTATAGATGAGAACTGAACCAGAGATGATAAGTGACTTGCATGGGGTACCAGAGCTAGTAAATGACAAAGCCAGAACTAGAACCCAGATCTGCCATTCATTAAGCCTACTTACTGTTCTTTCCCTTAAGTGATACCATTCTCCTGTCTTCCATCCCTGACAAAAAGCAAAACACAAAACTGTTGAGAAGCATCTGTGTAGATGATACCAGTGAGAAGTATAAATTATTTTATTTCAAAAATGTAAATATGGATATGATAATAAATGTTAATGCCTAAAAAGACTAGCTTAGCAAGTGCATGGCAGGCATTCAGTCAGCCACATTTCAGCAATCACCGGCCAAGATCTTGAAGTTAAAGGAATCTCTTAGGATTCCTAAGAGGAGGGGGTGGGGCAGGATACTTTGGAAGATATTTGGAGAATAAATAGAACATTGATGGAAAGTGATGAAAATTTCCCAGACCAGAAGGGACACTGGACCACTAGAGCAGGGAGGGAGAGAGGAGAGCATGGGTTGAAAAACTATTAGGTACTATGCTCACCAGCTGGTGATGGGATCTGTACCCCAAACCTCAGCATCACTCAATATACTCATATAACAAACCTGCACTTGTACCCCCCGAGTCTAAAATAAGTTGAAATTATTTATAAAAAACAAAAAGAAAAATCTCAACAAAAATTTCCCAGACCAAGGAAATTCAAGGAACTAAAGTACTGAGAAGAAAAAATGGTATAATTTGGTTTAGAGTTAACTGCAACTTAAGTGAATGAAATGCCACGTAAATGGATATTTTACATATTTTCATTATGTTCTAGCAACAAGAATTTGGGGAAAGTGATGGATTTTGCTATCACAAGACTAAAAAGCATCACTACAAGCCACTGACTCCTGCGTTGACATCTGTGACCTGTCTCAGTAGTAACAAGCCTAGTAAAACAGTTCAGGTTCATTGCTTCTGTTAACAAGAGTGGTTGGTAAGATTCAAAGGACCAGTGGAATGTGAATTTTATGACACCATAATGATCTTCATGGGAGAATCACCAAAGTGCAAAAATGCAAATACAAAAGAAATCTTTAAAAACCAAAGGGTAAGGCAAGATAGATTTCTGCTCCTATAAGCTATTTTATTATAAGGAAGCAATATATTTAAGTAATTGGCCCTTAGCAAGGAATAAATGGCTTTTGTTTCTAGCTAATGAGATTTCATTTAAAATCTATTAATTGGGAGAACAGAAGCAGCACAGGAGCCAATACCAACAGTAAATATTCAGTTCTTCTGAGGGATGATAAAATTTTCCTTCAGTATCATGAAACTCCTGGAAGCCTTGCTCATGGTAATAAAGACAAGCCTAGATCCTATAATATTAAACTAATGAACAGGATATAACACATTAAACACTCCAAAACAAAATAAGAAATACATATATATTGAAAAAGTGATAAATGTAGATATCCTGAGATTCTCAACTATAAAAAGAACAGAGTAATATCAATTTAAAAGGTTGTTGTAATGACTAAATAATACACATAAAATCCTTAGCAGTGTCTGGTACATAACAAAGGCTTAACAAATAATGGTTATTATTACAGCCAGGATGAAGAAAACTAATAAGAGCTTTCAAATTGGGCCAATCCCTTACTTCCCTGTTTCAGCTTCATTTTTAGCACATGAATATGATCACTGTTAGCCAGTCAAGTAGTTTCCGACTAGATCATTGATTAGCTCTAACAAGAAAACCAAAGATAGTATTTGGAAACCAAGATGAGGCAAAAGAAAATGTTAACTAAGTAGGCAATAGCTAGCTAAAACATATTTTGACATTATTTTTTGTTGTTGTGGACTCTCACTCTGTCACCCAGGCTGGAGTGTAGTGGCATGATCTCAGCTCACTGCAACCTCCGCCTCCTGGGTTCAGGTGATTCTTCTGCCTCAGCCTCCTGAGTAGCTGGGACTACAGGCGCATGCTACCACACCCAGCTAATTTTTTAATATTTTTAGTAGAGATGGGGTTTCACCATCTTGGCCAGGCTGGTCTCGAACTCCTGACCTCGTGATCCACCCGCCCTGGCCTCCCAAAGTGCTGGGATTACAGGTACAAGCCACCATGCCTGGCCTTGACATTATTTTTAAGCAGCATTCATAAGGTTCATGGAATACAGGTACCAAAAGAAAATCAAAGCAGTGTAGAAGTCCTAAAAACCAAAGGAAATTGCTATGAAAGAAGCCCTAATAAAAGGTAACATATTTCCAAAGAAACGGAGGCCAGGTGCCGTAGCTCATTCCTATAATCCCAGCACTTTGAGAGGCCAAGGTGGGACGATTGCTTGAGCCCAGGCATTTGAGACCAGCCTGGACAACATAGTGAGGCTCCATCTCTAAAAAAGTAAAAGATTAGCTGAGTGTGGTGGTGCATACCTGTAGTCCCAGCTACTTGGGAGTCTGAGGTGGGAGGATTGCTTGAGCCCAGGAGGTTGAGGCTAGTGAGCCATGATATTGCACCACTGCACTCCAGCCTGGGCAACAGCATGAGGCCCTGCCTCCAAGGAAAAAAAAATAAAAAAAAGAACAGAGTCTGCATGTTTAGTCTATGCTTACCTCATTCTTAAACAATACAAGACTGGTCATCTTTTTATCTACCAACCAAGGGTCAGCATACTTATTTTTATCTTAGTTTATTTCTAGGAAGATCTTAATTTCTTTTTCTGTTTTATAAAGCATTTGATTCCTTTCTTGTTCCCAGTATAAAATTTATTTTTGAAGAGTTCTACTTTTTTTTTCTTTAAAGCCAGGGACTTTTTCCCCTATTAATCTAATCTCAGAAATCAAAGGTGACAAAAAGAAAAGAAAATGTTCCTAGCTCTGAGAGCAAATTCGTGGACAGGACATTCAAGGCTGCATGTAGGAAAGGGTAAAGTATAAGACAGACACCATACAGAGCTGATGGAGAGAAATCCTTACACAATTAATGGCTAAATGTAGAGGAGAAGCGAAGCTCCTGAAGGATAGTGGGTGAAAATGTAATTATTATGGCTTTTCCTCTCACTTCATTAATGGAAGTGCTGCTTATGACCGAGCAGTCTCTTAATAGAGGTTCTGAAACTTGCCAGGTGGCTTATGAACAGATCGATCTATTCCAAAGTTTAGAATTTGCTCCTTTTCTGACATTCCAAGAGTCAGAAATTGAGAAAACTTCCATTTCTTAAAACAATAAGAACTTTGATTTTATTGCCTTTGCCCACTCTCCTGATTCTGTTCTTCTCTTTTAAAAACAACTCAAATACATTCCCCAAACTACATATTAATCTTGCAGTGAAATGAAAAAACTGTCTTTGAATCTTCCTGTCTAAAGTCTCACAAAAACAGGCCTAGGAGGCAGTAACCTAAAATCAGACAAATCCAGGTTCCCAGTCCCCATTATAGCTTTTCCATCCTACTAACACACTTAAGGCTCAAAAAGCAAAATTAATGCCCAGACAGCCTGTGAGGCACATAGACATGGAAAAATGTTCTATCCTGGTCATACCAGGCATCAGATAAGATACTAAAATCTTCCACAGATCATTAATTTACAAGGGGTTCTAACCTTTAAAATCATGTACTAACATCAATACTATGACAGGGATCTTGGATCACCTATGATGGCTTCTTTGTCAAAGTAAGCAAGGAAGTTATATCATTTTGGTGCCTGGAAATTCCTATGTGGTCCATTGAACTGCAAAGATCTTGGATCCTTATTAAAGGCTGTGGATCTCCACATAAATGATATATCTCTGTTACAGAGAAAGAAGGTGCTGCTGCACTTTCTAGAATGTCTCTGGCTTTGTATCAGTCAGATGCTACGAGTTTTATTTCAACCAGGCTTCCAGTGTGTCCAATGCCAAACTTCATGCTTCAGCAAGGGAAGAAAAGATGAGATCCCAGGAACATACCAGACCTTTCAGAAGAAGGAGTCGAAGCCTGCTTCAATTGGACAAAGCTTGGTCCCCTGTATTAGCACCAATTTCCTGTCATTTAGTTCCTCACAGATTAAATTATAGCTTCTCTCAGAGAAGACCTGGGTACTTAGAAGGAATCATGGTAGAAAGTAAAGTAGAAATTCCAAGGGCAGATACCCAAAAGGTCAGGCATCACAGCATCTGAGGCCCAACAAGAAAGTAGAGGAATTCAATGAGCAGCAACTTGGGGGTGCTCAAGCTTCTCTGGTCCTGGCCTGGCCTCACGGCCCCACCTGTACTCCCATCATGGGCACCACCTCTTCAAGCCACAGCAAGTCCAATGGAGCTGAGGTTCGCGTTTGTCGGTGGTGAATTCGGCGTAGCCGTAGAAGGTATAGGATGATAGCCAGTAGCACCACCAGGATACAGGCAAAGAAGAGATAGTGGTTGTATACAAATGAGAGACGGAACCAGCTACCATGGGCTTGTCGGACACCTTCCTGCCGAAGATCCCTAGGGAAGAATTAAGAATTTGTAGGTGGAAAAAACTGTTTCAGAGAGAGACATTTACTCTGAGTTGAAAGGCCCTGTAGTTTTATTCCATCCACATAAACATTTTATGACACCAGCTCCACAGAGCAGGCAAAGCTGAAGAACATCCCCAGCCCCAGGGCTGCCACAAGATCCCTCCTGTGTCTTCCTTCCCATGGCCTCCAGAGGGGACCTCCAGGCTTATACCATCCAGAATCTAAGGCAAAATGAGAAGGCCTTTGAAACTGAAGCTCAAAAAATGAACAGAAAGGCTAGACTGGCCCTCTGTAACGTAAATCTTAAAATATGGTTTATAAATATAGTACGAATGAGAATATGGTATCCCCTAAATCCGATATAGAAATCAGAGTGTGTCTAAATTCTTTTGTTAAAGTTGCCATGCATCCGAACGCAGTGGCACATGCCTGTAATCGAAGCACTTTGGGAGGCCAAGCCAGGAGGATTACTTGAAGCCAGGAGTTCAAAACCAGCCTGGTCAACATAATAAAACCCCATCTCTCCAAAAGAAAAATTTAAAAATTTTAGCTGGGCATGGTGGTAAGCACCTGTACTCCCAGCTACTCAGAAGGCTGAGGCGGGAAAGTCACTTGAGCCCAGGAGTTCAAGGTTGCAGTGAGCTATGAATATGGCACTGCCACCACACTCAGCCTGGGCGACAGAGCAAGACCCTGTCTCAAAAAAAGAATAATAAAGTTACTACGTTTTCTTAGGATCTAGGATATATCTAAAGCTGTTACCTGATCAACTATATTATAGCCTGAAAAAAATAGAGAGAAGATATGAAAACCAAGTGCAATGGTCCACCTGGCTAGAACAGAAGCCACTCCAGCGGTCCGGATCCCAGATCTAGTTTTGTCTTGTTTGACCTGCAGTGTTCTTTTATAGTGTGAATCTCTAAACTGAAAGACTTCATAAAAAATATGGATCTCCAGCTTTTCTGGACTGATGAGAACTGGCAATGCTGGGACAGCACTTGTGAGTGATGGTAATCAGCCCATTAATTGGGGTATACTCTCCAGTTGTGGGCAACCATCACCTAGCCCACTTCCCTCATTTCTGTCACCTGCCTGGCTCCTGACAATATTGAGTTTAGAGGAACAGACATCAAAGATGAAAAATTCATCTAAGTTTATCTGAAACAGTCTAGGGTACAGAGTACCTAAAAATTGTCCCAAATATCTTACAGTACATAAAAGTAAGGCATCAGGCTACCAGAGTTTGATGAAAGTAGCCCTACTAAAAACACCTCACGTCATTTATCCTAATTCTGACCCACCAAAAAAGCCTTCAAAGTCAGTGACACAATTTCTGGAGTGCCTCTCTCCATTACAAAAGATTGCTCTAGACATCCTACCCCTGTTCTTTAGTCAGATGTGTTTTCCAGGGTTACCCAAGAATGACATTTTAGCTTGTCAGCATCTTGGAAGCGATTAGTAAGAGCTCAGTCCTAAAGCTGAGTAAACAAATAAAGCTGGATTTCTGAGGTAGCAAAGCTGAGTAACAAACTCCAAACCAGTAATGCTCAACCTTCTTTGAGCATGCCTGATAGTAATAGGGGCTCACATGGAAGTAATAGGAGTTTGTTTTTGTGAGGGTGTAGGGAGGAAGGTCACTTAAGACCTATTCTAAGCCAGTTTAAAAAAAAAACAACAAAATCTGTTCTGAGACATCAACTGATACCCTGAGCTCAAGATTCCAGATTGGTCAGTCTTACTTTACCTGAGTGGTAAGAATCGTGTTTTATACAGAATGGCTCCCAGCGTCCACTGAACCTCTCGGTCATACACCAGCTGGGCTGTCCGCAGGTTTGCGTAGTCATAGGGAAAGTGGAATCCTTCATGTAAGACTTGATACATCCAAGCTGATTTAAAACACTGATATCTGTGCAACAAAAATAATTGAATTTTTAAAAAAAATTATAATACTTTCCTTTACAATAAGCGATTCCGTATTCCTGCCAGTTATTAAAAAACCTACCTCCTCCTGCTTCACCTTCTTCACCTCTAAGTGGGTTACTTCTAAGTGAGCCTACTTACCTTGTGTTTACCACAAAGGCAATAATGACACTTAGGCTGTGTTTTTGTTTTTTTTTAAGAGTTGCTATCTTCAGAGACTATATTGAAATATCTACAAATGTAATTATATGATGTTTGGGATTTACTTCAAAATAACCTAGTTATAGCAAGAAGGGGATTGTGGGTGGGAAAACAGATAAAAACAAGATGGGCCAGGATCCGATAACTGATAGTAGGAAAGCAGCGTGATAGGTACACTGGAGTTCATTACACTATTCTAGTTTTGTTTATGTTAAACAGTTTTTAACTAAAACATTTAAAAAATGAAAGGACCAATGAACCAAACTGGCAAAATGTTACTTGTTGAAGCTATGTGATAGTTACATGAGGGTTTATGTTGTTATTCTACTTTTCTGTATGTTTGATATTTTCTATAATACAAAGTTTTATAATCATCACTTTTGGCCAGGCACAGTGGCTCATGCCTGTAATCCTAGCACTCTGGGAGAGTGAGGCAGGCAGATCACTTGAACTCAGAAGTTCAAGACTAGCCTGGCAACATGGCGAAACCCCATCTCTACAAAAAATACAAAAATTAGCCAGGCGTGGTGGCACATGCCTGTAGTCCCAGCTACTTGGGGGGGTTGAGGCAGGAGAATCACTTGAACCTGGGAGGTGGAGGTTGCAGTGAGCTAAGATAGTACCACTGCATTCCAACCTGGGCGACAAAATGAGACCTTGTCTCAAAAAATAAAAAAAACTAAAAATGTAAAAATCACTTTTGTTGTCAAATCACTTGATGAGAACTCTCTTTGGTAACCACTGATTTCCTCTGGCTTTGCTAAAATAGGCTCACTACTTTGGCCCCTACTCCTCAGAAAATCAAATCTGAAATGATCAAATGCCCCCTCAACATGAAACCTAATCTGCACTATTGCTCACTCTCCCTCCTGCATTATAATCTGCCACCTAGATTTTAAGGCCACATCTAAGGAGGAAAGGAAAGTGACTTACTTGAGTCGATGCTCATCTGCATGTGATGAAAAGAGGCCATTCTTGAATCTCTGAGTGAGTACCGACCAAGCCATGCCACAGTAATCCTGGATCAACCACAGAGAAAATAGCGCAACATGAATTTGGAGGCAAACTCTCTACCTTCCCCACAGTCACAGCTGTTCCATTTCTAAAGTTACTTGTGGGCTACCAGCTGACAAAGGAAAACAGAAATGGCATATTCATAAACACTGTGCCATACCCCTGTTTATTCTTGTCACCTCAGGTCGGTCTAGTACCAAGCAAGCTTGATGTGGCTTCTGAGCCTCTTAGGCTTCAGAGGGGCTGAGGTTAGGACTAAGAAATAGCAATGCCAAAAGCCAAAGACAGCTTCGTTCTACTCCACATAGGACTGACATGAGCAGGGACAGTAGATGAAAGAGGATGATTATAAACCTGTCATTGGCCTACTTTGGTGTTGTAATTCTCACCAAAAGAATCATTCCTTTTGGTTTGTTCAATGAACTAACATTTACTGAATGTCTGCTACGTGCCAGGTGCTGTTCTAGATGCCAGGGAATCATGCAGACAATAAAACAGACAAAAATTCCTGTCTTCAAGGAAGCTAACATTCTAGTGGTAGGAGACAGACAACCCCCGCCCCCGCCCCCACACACACACACTATGCTGAATGACATAAACGTTTGGGGAAAAATAAAGCAGGAAAGGGCAATGGGTAATATGGAGAGTGTTGTCATTTTGATCGGTCCCAGAAGGTGGCTCTGGGAAGATAACGTTTGAGTCAAAGTTAAAAAGGTAAAAGAACAAAATAATCTCTTTTACCTGGAAAAGATAACACATTAAGCCACTAGCAATGTTGGCAAGCAATAACTTGAGCCTTTTGGTATTCAAGGGAATAGAATTTGAAGAAGTTCTGAGATAAGAGAAAGATTCAGGCCATGGACAGTTAGGGAGCTCTGGGCTCCAGAAAAAAAGGGAGCATGAAGGTCTTCCTGGAGGCTGGAGAGAAAGGAGTAAATACAATCCAGATGTTCCGCAATATTTCTTAAGGACTGCTTTTTGGGAACAGAATAGTACAGATACTGCAGATATTATTCAATTGGAAGTCTTACACCAAGAGAACTCTAGAAAATTGTAAGAAAGAAAGAATAAGAAATATGAGGATAGGCTGGGCGTGGTGACTCACACCTGTAATCTCAGCACTTTGGGAGGCTAAGGCGGGTGGATCACCTGAGGTCAGGAGTTCAAGACCAGCCTGGCCAACATGGCGAAACCCTGTCTCTACTAAAAATACAAATATTAGTCAGGTATCGTGGCGGGCATCTGTAATCCCAGCTACTCGGGAAGCTGAGGCAGGAGAATCACTTGAACCCAGGAGGTGGAGGTTGCAGCACGCCGAGATCTTGCCACTGCACTCCAGCCTGGACTACACAGCAAGACTCTGTCTCAAAAAAAAAGAAAAGAAAAAGAAAAAGAAAAATGAGGACAGATTCTCCCATTAATTACTCTAGGAAAAAGACAGATTAGAGAGATACACAACAATTCAAAGAGATGGCCCTAAATTAAGCCGAGAATGATAGAAAGCTGGCTAATCTTTTACCTGTCCAAGTAACCAATGATTTAAGCCTACATGATGCTTAAGTCTACATGCTCAAAGTGAATTTTTACTCCTCCAAAAGCACATTACAACAGAGAATAGCCAGCAAGGGGAAAAATACTGGAGGTGACATTTCTTGGCCATAAGCATTAAGCAAGACTATTGGAAAGCTGGAAGAAAAAACATTAGCCAACACAAAAATTTTATACCTGGGTAACAATTTGGGTGATATGACACCCATGAAAACTAAATTTAGTTAATTAGAAGGCAGTACAGCATAGCTAGATCCTTAAGTTCTGTAAGTCCACTTCCTCATCTGTAAAATGAGGGTTCAAAGGGCTCCTGCAAAGAACAAGTGGGATTCTGTATGCAAAGCCCTTTATACAGCACCTGGCACAGAGTGAGGCATTCAATAAATGGCTGCTGCCAGCATAAGCCATTTTTATCATTAATAATTTACCTGAGCAGCTTTGGCAAATGTTGGCCCATGGTAGCGGCCACCAATGCGCAACACATCCTCTGTACAGTAAAAAAACTCAGAGAAGCCATAGAACTCGCTGTTGTTGAAGTCAATTGGTGATTGATAGATGCCATTGAGTGAGGCCTGGCTGGCGTTGGAGCGAGCCAGCAGGGGGCTCAGCATTGCCCCACAAGACTCCCAGTCTCCTCTTCCTCGGACATGCAACACTTGGCTGTTCCTCTCCACCACATCTGTGAGTCCCACAGGCAGGCAGGGATCCAGAAATGGATTGTCGGGGCTCAGACCTGTCTTTTGACCCAGCAATCTGCCACAATGACAAAAACAAAGAAAATATTCATGCCTGTACTCAACCTAGTCTAAGAAACACAATGTGCTTCATAAATATCTTGCTACTGGTTTTCATGATATTCCTAGAAATGAGGATGCAGTGGAGTATTATCATGGAAATTCATCACATACACATTTAACTTAAGCAAATTAAATTTAGGGAAAAAAAAAGAGGAATATGGTGATCAGTTCTGTTGTACCTTTTAGTCAACATGTGTATTTCATTTCCTAGGGTGTAGTGAAATTGGAGATGCGAATCTGCTGTTCTCCATCTGGTCTTCATTCCCACATACCTCTTAAAAGTGCAAGGACCTTATCATGCAGAGTGTGGTTCTAATGTTTAAAAATACAGCTTTCACAACAATGTTCTTCAAACATCATAATGTCTGCAGGAGACATCTGAGCACCTCAACCCAAGCAATATTTGTATAGACTTAGGAGTACTGTCAGAATGCAAACACACCACTTGATTTTAATGCATTTGTCAATCATCCAGGGCACCAGGATTCTCCCAAAGCACCTTGAACTCCTAGAGACTAAAACTTACAAAAACAAAAAAGACTTTTGGGACAATATTTTCTTCAACATGCTGCAAATATAAGACAATTGATTGCTGTGGATAAATTATTAGAAATGGGATATACCAATACCTCTTCAAGCTAGTGTTTCTAGCTAAATGGTTAAGTGTACATAGGTAAGTGTGATGTTTGCTTTATGGTAGGTGGTGAGGTGGGAAGGGCTGTGGGGAGAGATGCCTGGAGAGTGGACCATGGCAGTGGCACATCTGCAATGGCTGGCAATGGTGATGGAGCCCATGCCTGCCTCTGAATGAGCAGTGCTGGAACAGAATAGGCACAGCACCAGCTGCAGGAAGCCACCTGGAGCCTCTAAGCGGGGAGAAGAGCAGAAGCTTTAATTCCCACCATGGCCATAACACAGTTCCAGTTATTTTGAGTTTATACTTGCCTAGCAACCATATTCTCATTCCTCAAAAAGATTACTATGAAGGACAGAAATTAAGTTGGGCTCCAAATAACTTTGCCAATTGCAGTTAATTATCAGTTCCTAAACAGATATTGAAGAGTGGATTCTCAGAATGAGGATGTACCCACAAGTGTAAAGACTGAAGGTGAGTACAGTAGAACACCTTAGAACAACTGGAACCAAGTATTTTAAGGATGCGACACCAACTGTAAGGGAAACTCAGAAAACAGTTACTGAGAAGAGAGAATGATCGTTTTACCATCCCAGGAAACAGGTTTCTTTAGTAGACTGGCAGCTACACAAGATATGCCTTTTATTCATCAATCACGTGAAGTAGGTAACTTAGCTACTTGGCAAGAAAATACCAATGCATGGGAAGAAGATGCAGTCTGGCAAGAAGTAGTATGGGGGCAGAAGAAAACAGAAAAAAGAGCAGCAGAACAACAAAAGAAGAAAATAGAAAAGAAGCACAGCAGCTAATGAAGAAGGAAAATCAAAACTGGTGTGAAACTTTCACAACAACTGTTCTTCAAACATCACAGTGGCTGCAAGAGACATCTGAGCACCTCAACCCAAGCAATGTTTGTACAGACTTAGGAGTACTTTCAGAGTACAAACACTTCACTTGATTTTAATGCATTTGTCAGTCATCCAGGGCACCAGGATTCTCCCAAAGCACCTTGAACTCCTAGAGACTAAGACTTACAAAAACAAAAAAGACTTATGGGACAATATTTTCTTCAACATGCTGTAAATATAAGATAACTGATTGCTGTGGATAAATTATTACCAATGGGATATACCAGTATCTCTTCAAGCTAGTGTTTCTAGCTAAACGGTTAAGTGTGCATAGGTAAGTGTGTTGTTTGCTTAGTATCAGCCCTGCCCTTTCACCTGTGGTCCTTCTCTCCGTGATTGGGTTCCTCACCCTTCTGGTTAACTAGGCTAGACTCTCAGCACTGCTGGCCATCCTCCCCTCACTACCTATACAACCACAATCTATCACCCAATTACACTGTGTTTTCACTCCAAAATTCTGTGTAAATTTTGTGGTGGAAAAGAACTCTGCTTTCTCTTATGTTTTCCTTTAATGTGCATAATGATAAAATAATTTTACATACTTCAAAAAAAAAAAAAGAAAGAAAGAAAGAAACCCCACAACTGTTTGTAGATTATGGTCTAACTACTTTACTTCATCTGGTACTCAAATGAAGATTCTGTGATCTGTCCAATCCTAAAGGAAAAACGGACTATTCTGAATTTGATGAGAGACCATTTTAAAAGTTAATTTTAACTACAGATGCTTTTTATCTTTTAGACATACTACAGAAGTGAACTCCCACAAAAGATGCAACTGCACTGTAATTCAACAAACATGTCATGAACACTTCCATGCAGAAGGAACTGTTAGCAGCTACACTATATATTGCACATTTTAAATTGGCAATTTAATTCATCTCCCTTATCCTGTGATGCCAGGTCTGAATATGGGAAACAGCAAGAGATCACAATAAGCTGCCGTACTTTATGAGTCCTAATAAAGCTCAGAATGTACCCTTACCCAGATCAGGTGAGGTCTTTAAGAGATGCTACCCCACTGGCAGGGGTGGTCAGAAAGGAGGAGGAAGCAAGGACTTATCTTAGGAGGATGTGAATACTTCTTCCTAATATCTGCAGCTGGACACGGTATTTCAGAAACTCAGATTCCATGTCAAATGTACCTGTTTTTGTTAAGAGTTTCATTCAGAACAAGATCTTCATATCGCTGCCGGGCAAAGTTGCCTCCGAAACCCAAAAAAGTTGTGACGTAAACCCTGTACACGTGTTCAGTGTGCTGCACATCACAGCCCAGGTTGAACTCAGCCAGCAGGATCTTGGCAGCTTCTTCCTGTAATACAACACCAAGAGAAAAAAGAGAATTTTAGTTCTGATTGCTTTCTAGAAAGCTATGACATTGCTAATATACCAGGCTTCATTTCTATGACTACTGTTTAAAATATCTTCAGCATTCGTTCATCCTCATGGCATTATTTTAAACAAAGTCAAAAAATGGCAAGACTGCACCAAAAGGTACAAATTACACACTAAATTAAAAACTAAATATAAAATTAGAGACCAAAACATTATCTGTAGTTACATAGGAGGTAGAATTACTACAGATATCATTTTCTCACATGTATTTTTCTGTATTTTCCAATTTCCCACAATGGGAATTTATTTTAATAAATAGGAAAAAAAATCCTTCAATAAAAATAAATTCAAGGAATTCTGTGGATCATTATCAGATCTATTCTATGGCCTTTTCTTTTTGAGACAGTGTTTCACTCTGCTGCCAGTCTGGAGTGCAGTGGTGTGATCTTAGGTCACTGCAACCTCTGCCTCCTGGGTTCAAGCGATTCTCTTGCCTCAGCCTCCTGAATAGCTAGGACTACAGGCACATACCATCACACTCAGCTAATTTTTATATTTTTAGTAGAGACGGGGTTTCATCATGTTGGTTAAGATGGTCTGAATCTCTCAACTTCGTGATCCGCCCACCTTGGCCTCCCAAAGTGCCAGGATTACAGATGTGAAGCATCACGCCCGGTTCTGTGGCCTTTTCTAAAATTATCCAAGAAGCCCTAAGGTTCCTTGTGACAGGTTTGGGGATTGGGAAAGTTCCACTTTCTTGTACCTTCAATGAAAATGTGTTATATCTTTTTCTTGAACCCCAATGGCAGAGGCTGAATTAATTATATTCCTCAGCTCATGCCACATTTATCATGGCAAAGGCTCTCTTTTGCTTTATTTATTCCCTTTTATCGTCACACTTATTCTCATTCCCACTGTCTGCCATAGGCAACCATTGTAATGTGTTTATGTATAATTATTGTATATATGTATTGTTATAAAATGAAGATTCTTGTTTTGAATTTATTTTTAATTAGTGAAAATGTCATTGTGCCCTGCAATTTCACTCCAAAGTATATAACAAGAGATCCAAAAACTGGGCCAGGCATGGTGGCTCACACCTGTAATCCCAGCACTTTGGAAGGCCAAGACGGGTGGATCACTTGAGGTCAGGAGTTTGGAAACAGCCTGGCCAACATGGTGAAACCCCATCTCTACTAAAAATACAAAAATTAGCCAGGCATTGTGGCGGGTGCCTGTAATCCCAGATGCTCAGGAGGCTGAGGCAGGAGAATTGCTTGAACCAAGAGGCAGAGGTTGCAGTGAGCCAAAATCACCCCACGGCACTCCAGACTGGGTGACAAGAGCGAAACTCCATCTCAGAAAAAAAAAAAAAAAACCTTATGTACATACAAAAATGTGTACATGAATGTTCACAGCAGTATTGTGCATTATAGCCAAAAAGGGAAACCACTCAAATGATCACCAGCTGATAAATGTATAAACAAAATATGGCATGGTTGGTCATACGATGGAATGTTATTCAGCCATAAAAAGGAATGAAATACTCATACCACGAGATGGATGAACCTTGAAAACATTTTGCTAAATAAAAGCCAGATGTAAAACACCACATATTGTATGATTTCGTTTATACAAAATGTCCAGAATAGGCAAATCCACTGGAGAGAGAAAATAGATTAATAGTTGTCAGGGGTCGGGAGAAGAGAGAATGATGAGTGACTGCTAATGGTAAGTTAGTGGGGAGTGAATATAAGGTTTCTTTTGGGTGTGATGAAAATGTTCTGGAATTCAATAGTGATAGTTGCATAGCTTTGTGAATGTAAATAACTTTGTGAGTTGTACAAAAAAATATATTAGGCATTTAGGATTATTTAAAATTTGAAAAATGCTACCACATTATCTCACAGTTTCATTCACTTTTACCAAGCATTAAGATTCATCTTGAACAGCCATTATATTGCTACCTGTAATTTTTTTTTTTGAGACGGGGTCTCACTCTGTCACCCAGGCTGGAGTGCAGTGGTGTGATCTTGGTTCACTGCAACCTCTGCCTCCCAGGTTCAAGCAATTCTCCTGCGTCAGCCTCCTGAATAGCTGGGAATACAGGCGCATGCCACCATACCTGGCTAATTTTTGTATTTTTAGTAGAGAAGGAGTTTCACCATGTTGGCCAGGCTGGTCTTAACTCCCAACCTCGAGTGATCCACCTGCCTTGGCTTCCCAAAGTGCTGGGATTACAGGCGTAAGCCACCATGCCCAGCCTGCTCTATGTAAATCTAATTTGTTGCTTGCAAATATGCACTATACCAGTGTTGCTTTCCATAACAAAGTAGCTTTCTAAATCTGCACACACGAAAAAGTCTTTTAAGACTTGAACCCCCAGTGCCACTCCTCACCTATTTCTTAGTATCAGAACCATGCCTTTGTTTTACCTGTTGAATACATACTAACAAATATAGACTAAAAAGTCTCACAACCTAGTTAGTCCCCCAAATTTCCAACCCCAGAATGAAATTCTCTGCTGATTGCTAAACTCACATTTCCAATAGTCCTGTGGATATTCTGACACATATGTTCCTTGGATATCTACATCACCAAAATTGAAGTCATTAGTTTTACAACTTCTGAACTAGAAGACCAGATAGATGCTCTCATCCAGATCTCTCAGGACAATACTGCTTGCTTAATATCACCACTGCCCTTTCCCCTTGTGGCTCTTCTCTCAGTGACTGGGTTCTTCACTCTTCTGGTTATCTAGGATAGATCCTCAGCACTGCTGGCCATCCTCCCACCCTACTCACACTACCACAATCAATCACTCAATTATATTGGTTTTTCACTCCAAACTATCCCCTGAAATTTGTCCCCTCCCTTTCATTTCCACTTACTTTGTCTGATTTGGCCCTTTATTACTTCTCACTCAAGGTTCCCTGACCTATATTCTTTCTCCTACTGGCACAAAAATTCTTTCCCTACAAAAAACAGATCAGATAACAGTCACACAATTAACATCATCATAAAATTCAGAGCTGGGGAGGACCTTCACAGTTAAATTATTTTATAAATGATGAAACGGAGGCACATGTGACTGCCTTACTCAAAAACCTTTGCTAGTTCTCCACTATCTATGGAAACAAAAGCCAGTCCCCCTATGATAGCACTCAATACTGCTCATGATTTAGCTCCATCTTATCTTTCGAGCCTTATCCAGCATACCTGAAAATCCTAGACTGCAACAGGCTATTTGTCATTCCCTGGGCATTCTGGCCTCTCTGCTGCTTTTTCTGTGCCTTTGTGTTCCCTCCATACAGGTGGCCTTCCCTCAGCCTCCACTATGCAAAAGCCTACTCTTATCCAAGGCCCAGGTAATACTTTACCTTCCATGAAGCCACAATGGCTCCCATTCAACTTTGCAAACCAAGTTGGACCTGCCAGTCCCCACACTGCCCAAGCACTATTTAAAACAGATGGTCTCAATTATGGGCAATTTCCACCCTGCCTCACACATCTGGCAATGTCTGGAGACACTTTTTATTGTCACAACTGGAAGGGGGAGGGTTCTTACTGATATCTGGTAGAGCCAAGACATCATATGATACATAGAATAACCCCTGACAACAAAGAATTTTCTGACCCAAAATGTCAATAGTGCCAAGGATGAGATGCCCTGGTTTAGATAAAGTTGAGCACTGTTAGGGTCTTCCTGAAATCACAAGCTATCTCCACTGACAATAAATTATAACTTTTTAGGGACAGTGTAACTAACATGTTTATTCCTTTACATAATATTCTCTATTCCTTGCACATAATAGGTGTATATAATAGGTGCACACAGTAGGTATACAAAAAGTGTCTATCTAGGATGAAACTTCTTCCTCAAAATACATTCTTTACATTCTAGTGGGGTAAAGATTATTAGAAGCCCTAGAATGGAATCATCAGTAAGGGGAAAGAGAATCACATTTATTGAACAACAGGTATGTATCAAATATTGTGCTCCAGAATTTAAATGCATTATTATGTTTATCCTCAGGCAATAGCAGGAGATACCTAGTATAATTGTAACTGCTAAAATGTATCAAACACTTATCATATGCTGGGCAGTTTGCTAAATGCTTTACAAACATGGTTTTATTTCATCCTCACAACTTTATGAAGTAGATCTACTCAAGATAACTAGCAAGTATCTGAACAAATATTTAGAGCCAGGCAAGTTGCTCTAAGTCCAAAGACAGTGTCCTTCCTTCTCAAATACTAGCATTCCTAGCTATTATTTCCCTAAAAGGTAAAATACCTGATTTGCAGGAAGGGCAGAGGTTGAGGTAGGAACTTCATAAGCAATTTGGAGAGAGGCTCCTCCCATATCCAATATCCCTACTGTCCTTCTCCGTCCTGCTGCCAATTCCTGGGTAGCCTCAGCATCTGATTCTGAAATAAATAAGGGAACAAAAAGGCTCTAGTAATTAAAAAAAAAAAAAAAAAATTAAGTCAAACCCCCAAAACAGCAATCCCTTAAAAAATTGAAAGCAGGTAGGTACCATAGCTCACACCTGTAATCCCAGCACTTTGGGAGGCCAAGGTGGGAGGACCGCATGAGAACAGGAGTTCAAGACCAGCCTGGGCAACATAGTGAGACACTCCCATAAATTTTTTTCAAAAAATTAGCTGGGCATGGTGGTGCACACCTGTGGTCCCAGCTACTTAGGAGGCTGAGGCCACAGTATCATTTGAACCCAGGAGTTTGAGGCTGCAGTGAGCTATTATGCCACTAAACTCTAGCCTTGGTGACAGAGAACCTGTCTCAAGATTTTAAAAAAGAAAGCAAACAAATATACTAACTGAATCAACTGTATATTGCACAAAGAATAATTCTTGCAAATTACTTAAACACGACATTTTTAACTACATATTCCTAGTGGCATACAGCCTAAGGACAAAAGAAACAAATATCTTAAGCTACATTCCAGTGGTCTTACTTGTTAACAATATTGTTGGTTTTATTATTATTATTATTATTACTACTACTATATTTTGAGACAAAGTCTTGTTGTCTCCAGGCTGGAGTGCAGTGGTGCAATCTTGGCTCAGTGCAACCTCCGCCTCCTGGGTTCAAGCGATTCTCCTGCCTCAGCCTCTCAAGTAGCTGGGATTACAGGCACGTGCCACCACACCCAGCTAAGTTTTATATTTTTAGTAGGTACGGGGTTTCATCATGTTGGCCAGGATGGTCTCAAACTACTGACCTCGTGATCAACCTGCTTTGGCCTCCCAAAGTGCTGGGATTACAGGCATGAGGACACCACACCTGGCCTGGTTTTATTATTTAAAAATTATGAAATATATTGTGGAATAAAACAAATAAATGTTTATGTCAATATCTTTAGGAATAAAGATTCAGCATAACAAAAAAAAAAGGATATAGGTATAAAAATCAAATAAGTAACAACCCTATAATCTTAAACATGAGTCAGAAATATGGCTATGGACTCATGATTTATTTTTCTCTTTCTAAAAAATACGTATTTCCTAGCTCTGTTCACTGAAAGGGCTAGAAGCAATGATATCCCAGGAGTAATGAGCACCAGTGGTATCTGGACCAATGATCTCTAAATGCTATCTTCACTAAGAGAAACCAAGTCTGGGCATGGTTGCTCACACATGTAATCCCAGCACTTTGGGAGGCTGAGGTGGGTGGATCATCTGAGGTCACGAGTTCAAGACCAGACCAACATGGTGAAACCCCATCTCTACTAAAAATAACAAAAATTAGCTGGGCATAGTGGCAGGTGCCCGTAATCCCAGCTACTCAGGAGGCTGAGACGGGAGAATCACTTGAATATGGGAGACAGAGGTTGCAGTGAGCTGAGAGTGTACCACTGCACTCCAGCATAGGTGACAGGGTGAGACTGTGTCTCAAAAAAAAAAAAGGATACAGAAGCCAACCTAAAGATGCTCCTAGTAATGATGTGATGGGCCTTTAATCCATCTAATATGTTAAAATCCATGAGTTCATAAAAATAATTAAAACTTTTTTCCTGGGTACAGTGGCTCACAACTGTAATCTTAGCACTTTGAGAGGCTGAGGTGGGTGGATCATGAGGTCAGAAGTTTGAGACCAGCCTGACCAACATGGTGAAACCTTGTCTCTACTAAAAAATACAAAAATTAGCCAGGGGGGTAGAGGGCACCTGTAATCCCAGCTACTCAGGAGGTTGAGGCAGAAGAATCACTTGAACCCAGGATTCGGAGGTTGCAGTGAGCCGAGATCGCACAGTTGAGATCGTGCCACTGCACTCCAGCCTGGGCAACACAGCAAGACACCGTCTCAAACACACACACACACATACACATACACACACACACACACACACACAACAAAACAAAAAACATTTTTCCCACTGGTTACCTTTGGAAGTTACTCAGTCACCAACTCATTATTCAGAAATGTGATACATAAAGAAAAAGAATCGAGGATTTATTCTGTCTTTCCCATAAGAACTACATGTCAGTATATCCAAAGAGTTGATCAAGAAAAGTTCATTATACAAAAATTCTAGCTGTTAAACACATAAGGAATGACAGAATTAGAAATATCACCATTTTGCAATCTCTAATGAAAAGACATATCTAAGCAATGATCACAGTTGGTTATTACAACCATTCTGTGAAAGGCAGATAAGGAATTTTAATACTAAATTAGATCAGGCTGATAATACCTGAACCCTCAATACCTGATCAGTCTGAGAACAACAAAAAGCGAGTCAACCAGCCATTACAAAACTCCTGATGTGAGTGGCGGGAAGCACACAGCACTTTCTATGATTTAGTCTTGCAGATGGAATTGAATCTGAGTCTAATCAAACATCCATATCTGACCTCCAGTTTAAAGGACATATGGGGGGGATAAGAAACATGTTTAAAAAAACATGTGAACCCACAAAGATGCAGTCTATCAAATCCAGTATGTGGCAAATTCTACCAGGTGATCCAATTTTTTCTTGTTTCAAAAGGCAAGGGAGTGAGGTGGTAATATTAACCATCATATATTAAAAGGGACTAAAGAGATGTATTAACCAATGCAATCCATGACCCTTGTTCAGATTCTGATTTGAACAAGCCCACCACAAATAAACATTCTTCAGAAAATCAAGAAAATCTCTACCTGGGTTGGGTATTAGGACGGGTATTGTATAATATTAGAAATGGTTAAATCTGTTAAATTTAAAAATGGCATTATGGATGTATTCTTTGTTTTGAAACTCCTCATCTGTCATAGATATATACTGGCATGCATGAAAATAAAAATTACATGTCTGGGGTTTGCTTTTTAAAATATCCAATGAGAAAAAAAGAAAAAAGGAACCCTCTTGAACCCATTACCCAGACTCAATATTTGCTAACATTTTGTCATTTCTCCCCCATCTCCCTCGATGTATCAAAGGTTTTTTAAATTATTTATTCTACCTTTAGGAATGTTTAAACTTCCCATATAAAAAGAAATAAAAGAAAGCAAATATGGACTGGAAAATGAAGCATCTTATGTTTGAAAAAAGAAAAACTACTCAAAAATCACATTTACATGCTACTGATAAGTTATGACTTAAACCTTCAGCCCTTAGGTAAATTGTCATAAGAAGACGATATTACTCACCATCCTCATGGTCGAATCTTCCCAAAACAAAGTTGATTCCAATCCATGCATAAACCCCTAAGTAAGAAATATAAAAGTCCTCACTTAATTCTCTACTGCTATGCCGTGTATATACCTCTCCCCAGGGCTTATCTTTCCCTTTTTTCTTGGGAAAAAGTAATCATAGTATTTTATTCTATACTCTCAATGTATGAATTTCAAATCTTTCATCTTGTGATATTTTCCCTTTTAAAACTATTTGCATCTTCTAAATTTCCTCAATGAATAGAAATTAATTGTATAGGCCGGGCGCGGTGGCTCAAGCCTGTAATCCCAGCACTTTGGGAGGCCGAGGCGGGTGGATCACGAGGTCAAGAGATCGAGACCATCCTGGTCAACACAGTGAAACCCCGTCTCTACTA